GCTGGCTGGAGCTGTAAGGCTCAGGCTGACCCCCAGGTGGTCTCCTGGATAACCAAGAACCTGCCCGATCGCTCGCGGCTCCCGGCTGACCCGCGCCCGCAGCGTCTCCGAGACCAGCCAGCGGTCGAGCCGGGCAGCTGACTGACCTGTGGTGGCAACGTGGGTGAAGGCACGACTGCTGGGGTTGAGGTCACGCCAGACATCGTAGAGCTGATGCTCAGTCTCCACGAGCCGCAGGCCGGTCCAATATCCATGCGTCCGCTGACCGGGCTGCCCGGCGGCCATGTCCTGCTGGCCTGCAATGCAGTTGAAGTCCCCTCCCACCAGAAGGCAACGTGCTGCTGGAAGGCTGGGCAGCAGCTCCTGTGTATAATACTGCTGTCGCTCCGCTGCGGCCGCAGGCGCGTACACGGAAGCTACCGTGTAGGGCTGGCCACAATAAGTGAAGTCCACTAGTAGGGTGCGTCCGGTGGTGCTGCAGTGACGCACCGTGATGGCTGCTGTGGAGGCTGTGGGTCTTAGTAAGACCGCTACGCCGCGTGACTGGGAGGTGAAGTGGCACCAAAACGCGGGCCCGCTCCAATTGCAGCGAAGCCCGGCAGGCCCCTCCTGCGCCCATGCTGTCCCCTCCTCTGTAGAGCTGTGGTGGGTCTCCTGAAGGAGGATGATGTCCCACCTGTCGCGCTCCAGAAGGTTGAAGAGGCAGCGCCTCTTGTCTCTGTCCCTGAGGCCGTTGACGTTGAGGCTGAGAAGGCGCAGTGAGGGCGATCGGGAGCGAGTCATGGCTGCGAGGGCCGCCGTGCCGGCGGGCCCCCACTGCGAATGCTCCTGGAAATCCTGTGCTCTACCCGCTGCCGCTCCTGCTGTTGCCCCTGCTGCTGTAGCCACCACTCTGTAGGCTGATGCCGCGTACGCGCTGAGCGCCACGGAGCCGGCAGCCCCGCTAGTGCGACCTGCGCCGCACGCTGCGCTGCGCGCGCTGCGGCTGCTCGCGACTCAAAGCCCGGCGGGACGGTGGGTCTCCCCTGCTGACGTGCAATGGGTGCTGCTGGGACCTCTGCCGGCTGCGCTAGGTCCTCCGGTGTCAGAGCCGGCAAGCCGTACGAGTCGTCCGGCAAGCTGTCTGCTCCATGGATGCGACGCAGAGCATCGCAGAGGAGCTGGTGCCGCAGCTCCCTATCTGCTGGTGCATCCCCTCCCGACACGAGCGCGAGTGGTGCATCGCTGTGCAGCCGGCGAATCGCTGCCGCGCTGTCTGCGGGGGAGAAGTGTGTATGCCCTGCCAGCCACTCCAGGCACTCCTCAATACGCTCAACCGGGACGCCGCTGAGGTCCAGGTGCGGAGGGCGACGGTGAGCCGTCTCGGGTGGATCCTCGGTGTGAGGCAGATCCCAATCCATGGGGGTGGCTGCACCTTTATCGCGCACGCGCGATATCCTGCGTCGCAACTCTCGCTGCGGCACCGAGTATGCCTGTGTCTCCCACTCCATCGGTACCGGAACTACTGTGAATGGTGAGGAGGACAGACACTAAGGCAGAAGGCCACGGATGACAGGCCAAGGGGATTGTTGGGGCTGCTGGTGAGACAGAAACATCGGAGGATCACTGGAAAACTATTGATAGCCTAAAGCCCTGGGCAGGGTGGTCTTCTGTAAGCTTGCGCCAACGCTCTGGCTCTCCGGCACGGTACTCCACAGGTAGCGGGGCGCACGATGGATCCGTCTGGCATGGTCATACAGATAGCCAAGTTAGAGCCGTGGCCGGCTGGGTACAGTGAATGGTGGATCGGAAGCGTCACGCTGGAAGCGGCACGGGATGCTGGGCACTCCAGTGGATGACTGGTTGCGCGCCCGGCAGCTCCTCCAGCGCGCAGAGGACCGCGCGGTGGCACCATCGCGCCGCAAACTGCTCCCTGGTGATCATCGGGTCGCGTCCGCGAAGCCAGTCGCTGAGCACACCTGCTGTCTGCCGGACGTTGACGGTCGCGAGCCGCCAATCGGCAAGCAGGGCCTTCTTGCAGGAAGACAGGATGCGAGCCGCAACCGCTCCGGGGGTGATCGCCGCCGCATCTGGCTGGTGGCGGCCGCGCTGATATGCTGCCCACAGCTGACAGATTGTAGCGAGCCGCAGGCGATCCCAGAGCTGCCTGAGCTGCCGCGGCGGTCCCCAGATCCTGGTGTCATCGGCGAGAAGAAGGTCGGCGCTGCGCGGTGGCGCGTCGTCTCCGGTCACCGCGGCCCATGTCGCTGCGAACCAGTCCCACACCCCGGCGGCGAGAGGGCAGATGATGAAGACATGGGTGAGTGTGGCCAGCTGACCTGCACAGCTCGGATGCGGGCAAACGTGACCGGCGGGATCGGCGCGGTGGACGTGACGCGCGAAGCCGCCGACGAAGAGCTGGCCATGCAGCAGCCTCCACGCTGTCACGCGCTGCCGCCGGTCCAGATGGGAAGCGTGCACCACTTGCCACACATGAGCCCAAGGTGCTGATGGGTCTGCTGTGACAGCAACAGCAGGATCAACAGTGACATCTGCTCCCTGTGGCACTGGTGAAGGGCCCGCTGGCGCGCCCGCAGGCCCGCCGCGGTCCCGCAGCGGAACCGGACGTGGTTGCGGCGCAGCCATCCAGATCGCCCAGGAGGAGGGATCAGGCTGCCCTCGAGGCCTCTTGCCTAAGACCTGCGACGCGGTACCAGCAGCTGCAGCCCTGGCCTCCCATCGCGCCTCGAGCGCCCGAAGGCCGCTGCGCTGATCATCTGTGGTATCAGCCCAGATGGCTGGTCGCAGCGGGCCCGCCGGGCTGGCCTCCCCCTTGCTGATCCTGTGAAGCACCTGTCGCCGCGCGGTGGCCTCCCTCACCACAAACTCATGTGCCGGCCGCGTGCCGAGCCCCCAAGCCTGAGGGTCCTGTACCTGGGATCCCCAGAGGCCAAAGAAGTATAGTGTGGGCGGCGGTGGTGGCGGTGGCTCCGGCAGCTGCTGCTCCCACTCCAACTGCTCCCCTGGCTGCTGCTCCACCTGCAGGTGCTGCTCTGGGTGCAGCTGCTCCGCGTGCTGGCGCTGCTGACGTGTGCCGCTGCGTGGATGCCAGGGCCTGGTGATGTCCCAGTGCTGAACCAATGCAGGCTGCGCGGCCGGAGGAAGGAAGGCGTGCATGGCTGCAACGCCTCCGTCCACTGGCACAAGGGCTCCTGTGCTGCTTACTGTGTGGCTGAGAAGGTAGGTGCTACCTTCGGCTGTGCGAGACCAGACGCGGCGATCCGACGGCAGCCAGAGGCGCTTGGGCCTGGAGGCGCAGGTCACCAGAGCCTTGATGGCTCACTTCGGACCGGTGCAGATCGCCGGCGTCTATCCCGTGGGGTCGCCCGGCGCGGCAGACAGCCGGCTGGAGCTCTGGTTCGACACGGTCCCCGAGGCGGCTGCGGCGCGGCATGCAGCAGCTGAGGATCAGCTGGTCAGGCTGCGAGCCTTGCCCGGAGGGGGGGATGTCACGGTGCCGGTGCACCTAACGGCGGGCCGCTTCCACTGCCAGCACACCTGCATCATCCTGCACGGGCTGCCGTACGGGTACTGCACAGAGGGCCTTTTTTTTTTTTTTTTTTTTTTAAAAGGGGAAGCCCCCGCTATTACACAGGTGCCAGTCGCACGCTTCCCAGCACGCATGCAATAGGATATTTGGGGAAACCTGTCAGAGTTGGGGCACGCAGAGCACTCCCGCAGGAGGATAATGCGATACTTAAGAGAAGCGCAAGCATGAAGAAATACCACAGAGGGCCTTACGCAGACACTCCTCGAGTGCGACGGCTGCCCTAGCGACAAGTTTGTCGTTCGCGGCAAATTCCTAGGGGATCTGCCCGGACACCTCACCTCCGGCGGCTTTCTAGTGGGCAGTGGCAAGGCCTGCCTGGCCTACATCCAGACGCCGGACGATGACAGGCACCTCGCCCGCTTGCCAAAGCGGTTCTTCATCGGCCGCGACACCCGGATCAACATCACACGGCCGGGGCGGATGCGGCAGCCCAGCCAGCCAGCTTCTTAGCAACGGCAACATCTGCCCGCAACCTCAGCGCCGCTCCGTTCCGGCCCTCGCCCGATTCGCCAGCGCCAGCGCCATGAACCTCGCTTACACACGCATGCTGGTCGCACACTCTCCAGAAGACATGCATAAGGATAGCTAGGAAAAATGTATAATGAGTGTTTCGCAAAGCACTCCCGCAGGAGGATAGTGTGATACCTAAAGAGAGACGCAGTCATGAAGGCAAATCGCTGACAGGCAAGACCTAGCAATGAACATGTCCCAAGCACCAGGGGGTGACCTCGTCCCCTATGGCGCACTCCAGCCCGCCGGCAACGTAACACCCCTCGGGTGCCGTTGGTAAACCCACGATAAGAACCATATTTTTTTTTTTTTTTGGTTTTAAGGAGAACCCCTCTATTACAGGCATGAGGGTAGCGAACTTCCCAACACACACATAATAGGATATTTAGGGAAACCTGACCGAGTTTGGGGCACGCAAAACACTCCCGCAGGAGGATAGGGCGATACCCAAGGAACATCAAAGCAATGGGAAACGGCATGGTCACAATGGCAATCGTGTCCAGACAATCAAGGACAATCAATCATCGTCGATGGAATGTAGGAAGGTAACAATAGGGCCTAACGCGATGACTAAGTCGGGCAGTCAATAACGCCCACTGGTTTGCGGGAAGCTAATCTCTTCAAAGTCAGTGACAAAGCATGGCAAGCTCATACAACACACCAACCCAGCAGTGGGTTGGGATAGGCAGGAGGTACCATGTTCTCAGTCCTAGACACCCGCTCAATATGATCACACATGAGAGTCATGAATGCACAGGAACAATGAGGAATGCACCGGATGACACAATGTGAGGGGAGAGACACGTGATGGACACACTTGATGAAATGATTCTAATGGGGTTGGAGACAAGAAAACACAGGAATCTGCTACCAGGACCCTGGGGAGAATGGGCTTCATTGAATGGGTGGCAGCGTCAAAGCTCTCCAGCGCGCCGGTGAAGAGGTGCACAGGTTGAGGGGCGCACGACTGAGCCGCCCGACCGGGAGAACCCGGTACATGAGAGCCGGCGGAGCATGTCTGTGGGGGCGAGGCCACAAGAACTGGTGGGCGAGGCCAGTGCCCCAGAAGGGAAAGGAAACCCCAGGGGCCATGCCCGGCCGTGCTCTCTGGGACTCCCGACCGGTGGTACCGCGTGACTGGGGGCCCCTTTCCGCGGTGGCAACCATAACTTTTGCTGCACAGCACTCCGTGGCCTACTGCAACCACTCCCTGCATGCTGCTCCTGCATCGCCAGAATCAGCCCAGCCCCCATCAAACACATCAGCGCCGCTGCTTCCTGTTGCCTTCACACTTCCAAAACTGTACCCCTCTCCTGGCAGGGGATCAACGGCGGTGGTCGTTGCCAGCATTGCAGCCGCAGCTGCCCTTGCGTTGGCCATTGCGTTCATAGCTCTCGTGTTGCTGGTGCGGAGCAGGCGGCTGCGGTCTCCCTGCAGCCAGGCAGCAGAAGGAGGATTGCAGGTGTATGCTTTTGTGTCGTGCATCAGCTCACACTCGGGGTTTTATAGGTGCTTGCAGGTCTTTGGGGGTGCATGCTGACTGGCAGCGATCCTCATAGATCTGTGCATCTGCTGCTTGAAGGGAGAACGGTCGGGCCGGAAACTGAAAAAGCTGCGTACTTTTGTGTCTCTGGAGTCGCATCTCTTCCGGCAGAGCAGATTGCGGCGCCTCGGACCGCTCGGAAGTGAAGAGGTGAGGAAGGCGCCATTAGGACGTTAGAATTGGAAATAATTCTGATGATGTCACTTGCCATAAGTGCAACACCATTTTTTCAACGACTGCAGCATATGCATCTTCTGAAATTGTGGTGTGGCTATTACAGATTCAGTATCATGTATGCTTGTGATTTTGACAAAAGCATCGCTGCCATATCACTGCCTGCCCTGACTGCAGGTTGAGATCGGGCCAGTCATTGGGCGCGGCAGCTTTGGGCGTCTATAAAGGTGCGTGCTGATATGTCCAGCTTTTGCCTGAAGGCTCACACCATTTTGCTGTCCCTCTCTTGTGCCGACTGTTCTTTCCCTTCTTTGTAAGCTACATTGTGACTTCAAAGGATACAGAAAATTTCATGGAGACACCGTTTTTGGCACATCCTCAAATCAGACTGTGGGGTGGTGGCAGGGCGCTGGCCATTTTTTTTTTTTTTTTTTTTTTTTTTTTAAAAGGAGAACCCCTCTATTACAGGCATGAGGGTAGCGAACTTCCCAACACACACATAATTTTTTTTTTTTTTTTTTTTTTTAAGGAGAACCCCTCTATTACAGGCATGAGGGTAGCGAACTTCCCAACACACACATAATAGGATATTTAGGGAAACCTGACCGAGTTTTCCATCAAGTGGAATCAAGATGGTGGGCTACACCGTGAGGATGCTGCCCGGAGCGGGGCCCAATAAGGGACAGTGCACACAGGAGAGCCCGCGGCTGGAGACGCTCCTCAGCCTTAGCCTGTGTCACCCCAATATCGTGGCCACGTTCAGGGTGTGCACCATGGAGCCAGGTGCCATGCAACACTGCTGCAGCTGCCGCCGATGCTGCGCCGCCTCCCCACCAGATCACTGCTCTGCCGAGCCTGCGCTGCCGGGCGCTGCTGGGTAGCCCGGGGTGCCCGTGTTTACTAAGTGCGGGCAGCTCGGAAGCGCCGCCACAGCCGCCGCTACCGCCGTCGGGTCGGCGCCGGCCGAGAGCGCCCCGGTGGCAAGGCATTCGTCGGGCGACAATCCCTTCTGCGCCGCGCATGCGCCCCGGAGTGGCAGGAAGATCCTGTTGCCGGCCGGCTCAGCCCGAAAACCGCCCTGGGAGCCCACACCAGCACTGAACCTGGTGGCGCTCAAGACCCCGAGGCTGCAGCAGGGCCATAAGTGGGCCCGAACATTCGCAGCAGCGGCCAGGCTGGCGGAGAGCCATCCAATGAGTGGGCCAGATTGTGCCCCTGCACAGGCTCCATGGTTGAGGCCGAAACCTGCAGCAGTAAGGCAGGCAGCATATAGGCCACTGGCGCCAAAGCAGAGTGCAACACTGGGGTGGCTCGCAGCGGAAACCATGGCTGAGACTCCTCTGGGGACGTGAGGTGAGTTTGAAGGCCTTTGAAGGCCCTCGACTCACACATGGACATTTCCTAAGTCGGCCTACCAGGTACCACTGTTCTTCTGTTGTTGACTGAAGAGTGCTGCTTTTGTGTGACCTACAGTCGAAGAGTGTATGATAGGTGTGTATTGGGAATGTTTAAAGGGGAACTTGAGTGGTGGAACTGGGACATGATATGATTGCAGGCCTGCAGATTCCTATGTTTTGATGCCCCTCACTTGTCCGGCCTGCTTTGCACAGCGGAGACGCACATGGAGACATTGGTGGTGATAAAGTTCTGCGAGCGAATATAGGCAGGAATATACAAGCAGGAATATATGCCGGAATTTCGCAGAGATATAAGCAGGAATACATGCAGGAATACAGGCAGAAATACAGACAGGAATACAGTACGGATTATAGGCAGAAATTTTCGGCAGTAATACATAAAGAAATACAAGCAAAAATATTGGCAGGAATACAGCTCGGGATAAACACAGAAATACCAAGCGCCGAAATATAGGGCAGATTATAGGAAGGAATATTTACAGGAACATAGCCAGGAATACAGGCAGGAGTACAGGCAGAATATTCTTATATTAAAAAATTAATATAGGTACGAATATACAGAGAAATACAAGCAGGAATATATGCAGGAATTTTGCCAGGAATATATAGTGAAGCATATGAGCAGGAATTAGGCAGGAACATATATATATATATATATATGTGAAAAAAATAATGCGAAGGGTATTCACACCTTGATCATATTTGTAGCGGCCAAAATCGTTTTTCGCACAATAATAAGCGCCAAAATATGGGCAGGAATACAGACAGGAATATAGGGCGTAAAATAGGCAGGAAAGTAAGTAGGATAACACGTACGAAAATAGGTAGGGACACAGGCAGGAATACAGTACGGATTATAGGCAGGAATTTTCGGCAGTAATACATAAAGAAATACAAGCAAAAATATTGGCAGGAATACAGCTCGGGATAAACACAGAAATACCAGGCGCCGAAATATATATATATATATATAGGGCAGATTATAGGAAGGAATATAGGCAGGAATATAGCCAGGAATACAGGCAGAACATAGGCAGGAATATACACAGAAATACAAGCAGGAATATATGCAGTAATTTTGCCAGGAATATATACGGTAGTGTGAATCATGAGCAGGAATAAGGCAGGAATATATATATATGTGAAAGAAAATAATGCGAAGGGTATTCACACCTTGATCATATTTGTAGCGGCCAAAATCGTTTTTCGCACAATAATAAGGGCAGAAATATGGGCAGGAATACAGACAGGAATATAGGGCGTATAAAAGGCAGGAAAGTAAGTAGGATTACACGTACGAAAATAGGTAGGGATACAGGCAGGAATACAGTACGTATTATAGGCAGGAATTTTCGGCAGTCACTGCGGTAATACATAAAGAAATACAAGCAAAAATATTGGCAGGAATACTATCCCGAGCTGTAGTACAGCTCGGGATAAACACAGAAATACCAGGCGCCGAAATATATATATATATAGGGCAGATTATAGGAAGGAATATAGGCAGGAATATAGCCAGGAATACAGGCAGAACATAGGCAGGAATATACACAGAAATACAAGCAGGAATATATGCAGGAATTTTGCCAGGAATATAGTGTGAATCATGAGCAGGAATAAGGCAGGAATATATATATATATACATATATATATATGTGAAAGAAAATAATGCGAAGGGTATTCATACCTTGATCATATTCGTAGCGGCCATAATCGTTTTTCGCGCAATAATAAGGGCAGAAATATGGGCAGAAATACAGACAGGAATGTAGGGTGTATTATTATTGTTATTACACGCTTTTCCTGCCGAAGGCAAGGTGCGTCTGCAGACAAGCTGCGTGTAAAGGCTGCCAAATTCCTACCCCTTGTTAAACTTGCCAGATCCAAGCAAGACCCAATCAACCGTGGGCACGGTGCTCAGTAATTGTAGCGCCCCCCGCCAGCCGGGGCCAAGGGTGTATAATAGGCAGGAAAGTAAGTAGGATTACATGTACGAAAATAGGTAGGAATACAGGCAGGAATACAGTACGGATTATTGGCAGGAAATTTTGGCAGTAATACATAAAGAAATACAAGCAAGAATATAGGCACGAATATACAGAGAAATACAAGCAGGAATATATGCAGGAATTTTGCAGAAATACAGGCGGGAATACATGCAGGAATACAGGCAGAAATACAGGCAGAAATACAATAAGGATTATAGGCAGGAATTTTCGGCAGTATTACAGAAGGAAAAACAGCAAAAATATTTGCCGGAATACAGGCAAGAGTACAGGCAGAATATACTATACCTAGTAGGCAGGAATATACAGAAGTACAAGCAGGAATATATGCAGGAATTTCGTCAGGAATATATAGTGTGAATCATGAGCAGGAATAAGGCAGGAATATATATATATATATGTGAAAGAAAATAATGCGAAGGGTATTCACACCTTGATCATATTTGTAGCGGCCAAAATCGTTTTTTGCACAACATTAAGCGCAGAAATATGGGCAAGAATACAGACAGGAATATTATATTTATGACAGAATGTCATATGATGATAATGTGCAGGTTATTCAGATCGTGGTCATATTTCTAGCCGGCGAAGTTATTTTCGCGAATACAAATAGAAATAGGCGAAGGAATACAAGCACGAATACAGGCAGTACAGACAGGAATATATATATATATAGTAGGATACAATGCGCAGGGTATTCCGACCGCAGTGACCCGCAACTGGTGGACAGTCTGAGGTAGGAGGTCGCGCGCTGGAAGAAGTTGTGCAACCGACACGAAGAAGACTGTGAGCTCTACCGGGACAGTTACATGAGGCTGAAGAGGGAGAAGGAAAGCGCGAAGGAGATGGGAGAGTTTGAAAGCACCGGTGTTTAGAGACATACACTGTACATGCCAACAGTGTTCTGTGCCTTGCAATCCAGATATCATATGATATGCATGTATTTGAAGCACTACAGTACAGACAGCCGAATACTATATAGATGTCTGCTTGGGCCCTAATGTAATAGATCCACGTGGCATCGCTCTTCCTGCCTTCCAGCCATCCACACGTCTGGCAAACCTCTAAAGCGTATCCATTCCCGAATTTCGGGACTTGTTCGGGGAGGCCATGAGACTCAGGTCACCCTCGTCAGCGTGACACTTGAGGTAGTCACCTGGAAGTGTACCGTGATTATTTCATGCCAAGATAAAGCATCTTCTCCTACGTCATTGCACCGTTCTGCGTATCTCACTGACATCAGTCCAATTTGAAGCGTCTGGGAAGATTGTCCGGCCCCTTTTGCTGCTACACCGTCAGAGAGCGATTGTAGGTGCGTCACTCCCCTCTCACGGCCCTGTTGGTGACCACGACCTGCGAGCACTGATCCGAAGGGTAACTCTCAATTTCTTGCTCGACAGGCCCCATCTTCGCCAGGAACGTGAGAAAGAATAAATTTCGTTCCTTACTGTCGGCCAGCACGCATTGACCGCTTCGCCGTGAGGAGACCTAGGGTTGTGCCCGGTGAGTCGGCCAGGGAGAAGCGGCTAGTGACCAACTGCAGGGCAGCTCTAGCACAGAAAAACATCCCCACTGAACAGATGGCATTGCTGAAGGCCTTCTGGAGCCGCCTATGAACAGGTGCTTTGGGTTTTAGCCAACGCGCTGTTTGGGTCCGTGATTGCTTCTAGGGACGCCTGTCAGAAGGTCACTGGTGCAATCTTCAGTCTTAGCCTGCTCATTACTTGTGCAGTAGGCAAAGCAATCCTAGTGCACATCCTGCATACAATATTCTGCAAAATTTCTCAAGGACTCTTGTTGTCAACTTCGAGCACGTGGGTTTCTGGGGGTTTCCACCGGCAGGTCCCGATATGACGGTCTATCGATAAGCACTGAGGGTTATGTCGAGAGATTGAACTTGTTTGCCATTGTGCATGGCGCCGCCAGCTTGTAGCTACTTTGCAGGACTTCCGAACACTAATTGTGCATATCCATCGCAGGCACGCCCGCCCTGGACGACAGACACGCATGGATATGAAGGAGATCGACAAAGAAATGCGGTCTATGTGGGGCAGCTTGAACGGCTTGAGCTCGCCTCTCAGCAGAAGTGCTTTGGCAGAAAGTGTGGCCAGTCTGGAACCAGAGCTGCTGCAATGGGCCTGCCCCCTCGACATTTCTGTGGAGGCCACACTGATGCCCCTTGACGAGCTCATCAGTGTACCCTGCAGCATTGGCCAGGCTGCTAGCCCCCTCCTGTGCCCTTCAGAGGCCCCAGGCCTGTCAGCAGCAGTATTCGACTGGGATGCAGGAGACAGCACTGAAGGCAGCCAGCTGGGCTACCTGCAGCAGTCTCTGGAGAAGTGCTCCACAGACAGCCATCTGAGTGAAAGTCCAGGTCTTGGTGACAGGCACGGAGGCTGCACAGAGGACCCAACAGCCCTCGAATTGTCACTAATGCCCCTGACAGGGCCGTCCCTAGCTGTCAGCTTACAGGGGTCGTTTCGGTATGAGCCCTGGGAGGCCGCCGCACTGCACCTGAGCGTCAGCGCGCCATCCAGCAGCCTGCGCACAGTCGAATCGCTCTCGCCGGCCTGCAGCATGGACTCACCGCCCTGCAAGGCCGCCTTAAAACCTTGCGGCAGCAACGCCGCTGCAGAACAGCGCATGCCTGCTGAGCGCGCTGCCAGCACCGACAGCAACAAGAGCTGCGCCTTCTCGGGCTTCTGGCCCGAGACTCCATCCCCGGCTGCCCCCTTGCCTCCTCTGCAGCGCATCATCCTGCCTGCCAGCCCGTTTGCGGCAGCGCCTGCGCTCGATGCCGGTAAAGCCCTCAGCGCCGCACTCGCTGCACCTCCAAGCGTCCCACAGCCGCGCCGCGCAGCCGCAGGCCTGGATCGGGGTATTGTTAGCGCAGGCCCAGCACCGGCAGTGGTTCCACCCCCGGCGGCGAGGCAGCTGCCAGCACCTTCCCTGCAGCTGCCGGCACCTGCCGTGCGGCCGGCCATGTGCTGCGTGCGCGCGCAGCCGCCACCGTCGCGGTCTGTGACGTTCACGCAGAAGAACCGGCGGCAGCAGAAGGAATACAACCAGCGCAATAGGGTGCGCGCCTGGATGGCAACAGAGTTGCACTTGGATTTTGGATATCCGTTCTTATGGACCGGGCTATGGCATTTCCAGATACAGCGCATTGGCTGCACTGCAGTCAGCGCAAAAAATGTGGTCCTCATTAAGCGGTGAAGTGATCTACAGAGCTCACCTAGGTCTGGATGAAGTCAACTTTTTCACATCCGTGCAGGCCAGTGATATTTTATGGGGCGGTCAGGTGCGCACGGCGGCAGTGCATGCGAGTGTGGATGGGCTGAAGGATAAGAGGGCGGCCCTGGAGCGCGAAGTGGGCGAACTACTAACTCGCCACAAGCACCTTACCATGCAGCAGCCCTGGGCCCAGCAGCACGTGCGCGCCCCACTACTAGTCAGAATCCTTAGTCACAATGACAGTTAGTCATTCTGAGTGTCACCCACACGGGAGAAGCAGGTTGTCCTGTCGGTATTGGGAACTCTTGCAGCGCTGACATTGCAGTCAACTGCCCCCATGATTGTTCCCTTTGAGCAGACGTCACCAGCTCTGAGAATCTGTCACTGTTACGCTGGCCCCCAGGAAGTCAGAGCAGCGGAGTCTGACTTCCATGCCTGTCATTTTGCAGGATGAGGTCACCTTTGTAGCCTCGCTTGCGTCCCTGATGCCCACAATGCCTGGCCAGCTTCCCAGCGAGCAGGCAGCGCCAAATATGGACATGCTCTCTAAGCTCATGCTGGTGTGTTCACATTCATACCCTGCTCTCAAATAGCTGTGCTGCATGACACACCCCAATTCAAAGTCGCTTGATGAATTCTTTAGCTGTCTCCTGGGCTAAACATCTTATTTTGAGCGGATCAGAACATGTTTTGGCATGTGCCACAGGAGCCCATGGCCGTCATGGACGTCATGTGCAAATCATCAGGTCCTGGGGCTCAGCTGTCTGCTCTACAGGTGCGCACTGTAAGGCTTGCTGTCTTGATCTGACCGGATCCTTCAGCACACCTGCATGATCGCACACTTGATGCGCTGCAAGCAGTAGCCACTGTTTTGCTGTGCAAACTGGATCAGGAAATGAACAGCAGCTTATGTACTGGTTGCATGGTTGCCTGCAGGTCCAGGCTCTCTCTACAGAGCTGCCTCCTTTGCAGCCAGCGAATCCAGACACAGGCCTGGCAGGTAGCACCAGCATCGCATGGAGCTCAATCATGGTGAGAGCTGCTCTCTGATCCCATGCCTTGCATGGCACAAGACGCAGGGTGCCTTGAAGGTGCATGTGCAGTGTCGAACAATGTTTGGTTCTGGAGGTGCCTTGTGGAGCGTGTGGGCCCAACTGCTCTGGGATGCAGACTATTCAACGCAGCTGTGAATGCGCACCAGTGGCTTGTGGCTGGGCCGCCTCATACTGCGTATAGCCGCACTGATTCCAGGGCGAAAAGGTCCTTACAGATGATAAGGTCACTCAAACTGTTGTGTCTATGTGTCTTATCTGCGCAGGCGTGCCTGCGGCTGACTAAACTCCAGAGGGACGAGCTGGCTATGTTGTATGAGACGCACCTGCAGGACCAGGCTGCTTCGCAACAGGACTGCCTCACAGTCGCTCTGAAGCTGCAGGTAAGGCACCCCACTTTTCTCCGGAACTTTAAAAAAACTTCCCAGATGGTTGCCTTTGGTGTGCCCACATGGTGAACAAAAGTACCAAACATGATGCATCCTGTGATTGCTTTCCAGGGGCGAAAGAAATCAGCTTTGGAATCTCCATTTTATTGAATTCCACTGCCCGTCCTTATGTGCACAGCAGGGGTCTTCACTAGACTGGTTGATGATGCAGCACTATGAACAGTGATCTGCTTGGCGCTGTGGCATCTACCTTGCTAGTCCTGGAAGCCTGAAGTGTGCATCGACTTTTGTGCTGAAGCATTTTGGCCTGTTTTGCTTTAGGGGCTGCCCGGCGTTGTGGGCAGGCTGACGGACTGCATGTGGCCAAAAATGGCTACGCACTTACTAAGCAGTCAGCTGACAGGCATCGCTGACAGGGAGGCAGAGATGATTCAAGACCTCAATAGCGCGTGTCAGAAGGTGACCGCTCTTCAGTAAATTTGCATAAAGTGATCAAGGCCCCCGGAATTTGAGAAAGCAAAACCCACCAAATCTCTTGCACATGTGCTTGTGCCGGCCTGTCTCACGATCGGCAAATGCTGGCGTCAAAGCCCCAAAAAAGAGAATTTTTATCTAACTAAAAATAGTTATGTGTTGGGGCCGACAATTTCCATGCCATTCTTCTCCTTGTAGGCTTTCAGTCAGCTGCTATTTTGTCCGGTTGCCAGGCTATGGGGAGTGGTCGCTAGGTGCTACATGCAGCACAATTGACATGTTGCCTTCATGCGTCTTGTCCCGTCAGATCTCAGGTGCACAAAAAGAAGTGGCGACGTGAGGTGTGCTCTAGGGGCCTGCCTGCCTGGACATCATCTAGGCATACGTGACTCTGCTTGGTGAAGAGGGAGTGGCGGTGCGCGCAGGTGCTGGACCAGGCTCAGCTGCGCAACCTGCAGCTGCTGGCACCGGCGGCGGCTGTCGATCTGCGCGCCCTGTGCCGCGAGGTCTCGGCCACCAGCAGACCTCCGCGCAGGGCGCCCGCCTCGCGAGCTGCCGAGCGCGCACAGCCGCCGGCCGCGTCGCGCCCCGGCACACCGCCACAGGTGTGCCGCCCATGCAACAGGGCTACCCATTGACTGAATTCGCTTCCGCTCATCTGTCCTCATCCCAGGGTTTGACATGGGCTAAGATCATGGGTGCACCCTGGGATTTGGCCAGGAAAAAGCGAGGCTGCACCCAAAATGGCCATTAGTTGGGTGTCTGACGCATTTCTTTTGGGGTGTGCCCCTCTTTCGCCCCCTGACCCCAAAGTCACTAGGCCACTCCCAGGGGTGACACTTTCCCTGGGAGAGTGTCAAAACCCCTCATTGAGGCTCATCCTTCAGTACAGGAGCTCTGTTGGTCGGGCAAGACCTTCTGGAAGAGCACCCAGTTCTGTCGATTTATTGCCATTTAGAAACCAGCTGCCATGCTGAATCTTATGCATCTGTGTGCAGGTGGGCTGTCCGGCTTCCTGGGCAGCTGCTCACACCATGGTCAGCGCGGAGGTCAAGGCTCCATCTGTTGAGGGAGGGCCTGGGCTTGAGGCAGCGCTGGGCATCGTTGATGTGGCGCTTCCTGCTGCAGAGGGCGCCAACCTGCCTGTCATGCCAGCGCCTGGCCCTACAGTTCCTCAGCCCTTTAGTGAAGCTGGGCCCACCGATACAACCGACGGTGCCACCCTGCCGACTGCATGCGCCAAACCTGTCGTCGCAGCAACACAGGCGGCCGCAGAGGCCGCACCTCTCACAAAAGGCCGCAAGCGCTCGGCAGAGGCTACTAAGGTAATCGGAAGACAGCTGCAGACTCTGCCGTTGCTCCACTTGAATTTTTGGCACCACAGTGATGACTTGTTGCAGCCCATATCAAGACGGCACTCGCAGTTTTTCCACAAAAGGCGGTCCCTGCCGTGCACTCATCCGCATGTCTCCTTTAGTCTGGAGATGCCATGCCTGTGTGGAGTTCTCTAAGGCAGGGGTGAAAGGGTGTGTTTGGTGTCACGTGCAGATGGATCGGATGATCCCTCCTGTGACAGAGCCAGTCGACAATGTATGCTGTGAGCCTGTGCATAGAGAAGTCTTTGGTGACACTCTCTTAGCGGCAACCTGCGGCGATGAGCATGCGGCAGAAAAAATTGATGATGAGGAGGAAGCTGCCCTGCAGTTTCCTGTGCATGAGGGCCGCAGGATGAAGCCCAAGAAGATGCTGTCGCTGGGTGATCTCCACACCAGCAGCGACTGATCTTGCTTTTAGAATTCCGGGAAGTAAGCAAATAAGTAACCGTGCACCAAAGTCGGAGACGAATTGAAAATATGAAGTTACAACCGAAACATTTGCTTCATTGTGCGACAGCACATGCCCACGCAGAATATGCTCCTGCAGCGCGGCTGCATATCCCAGAATTGTGGAGGGACTTTCACTTGCTTTGGCAGCCCCAAATCCAATATGGTCGGCGAAGAAGAGCAACAAGGCCCAAAATAAGTAGCTGAAGCGAGATCTATAGGGCATCCTATGAAATCTGCCATCTGTTTGTGTCACCCAGCAAGTTACTTGCGCTGACGGAAGTCCTGATGATTTGCCAGTCTTTGTGCTCTTGCTTAGCAGAGCCAAGCAGAAGCAGTGGCTGCAGTCAGTCCTTTTTTTATTTCTTTTGCCAATTGCGTGTGCTTTCACAAGCATGCGCGGGGATATCCATTTGACTGGCATGGCAAGCCAGCTGTGTCTGCAAATGTTCTGATGGTGGGTATTCTGCTCTGGACTGGGGAAACTTGCTCAAGTTCTGTCCAGCAATGTCTTTTGAAATTTGAGGTTGTGCAGCAAAGTACTGTATTGTGCGCTCTTGCTCGGTTTGGCAGGAATTTTATTCACAATGGAGTGGGAAGGGGTTTTTTCTGCTCTTAACGTTTCAGGCCTGCAGTCTTAGTTCTCCTAGCGCCTGCTTGTGGTACAGAATCGACCCGGACCCTTGCAGCAAACGCATCACTGCTTGCGGTGGAGGTTAAAGGTAGCCCCACAATTTGTTGTGCAGCTGCGAATAGATACGTAATGATGAGCTCATCACTCGAGGGCCTCCCAGTCATGTTGAGCATTGGCAACAGGCTGTTAATTCTTCTGACGGTTAAGGGGGCAGGGCGCATTACCTCACTGAGAACACAAGCCCAGATTGGCACGTGGCACGCTGGCCTTTGGCTGACTTAGAATGCAAGGTGCCATATTGGGCAACATGCATATATGGTCTGTCACCCCCAGAGTGAGAGACACTTATAGAAGCGATTGGTGTGTCGTGTGTATCATCTGGTGACTTCCAATTTCAACCGAGCTTGCACCTTGGATGATGCTAAAGCTTGCTTTGGAGGTCTTTCAGGCAGGTGATAGAGAGATCTGATGGTGCACACGTGCACTACAAATCTGTTCCAAAGGAATGGGGAACACCTCTGCGTTGCGCATTCTCCAACCTTTCTGCATCATGTTGATGCTCACCATTTGTCTGATAGTGTGCATGATGCAGAGAGCTCATGACATGGGGGTATTGAGTATCTAATTAATTATTATGTCAGCATTGTGTTGCTTCAGGAGACATGCATCAACTGTCCTTGGCCCACTGGCTTAAAAGTTGGTGTTGGCAAGAGCCTATGATATTTGCGTGTTCCTTGAGAAAGAACTTGATATTGGACATTCAGTATGAGTGATGTTAGCAAACTGCATTGGGATTTACAAGGAAGGCCTTTTGGGTTAGCTTTCAAGCGGAAACAATCCTGAGTTTTCAGAGGGGGCAAGCTGCACAGTAGCACTGATCTGATGAAATCTAAGCTACTTACCGGATGAAAGAGTCTTTTCAAAGCTCAAGTCCTCAATGCGCAGTCTTTTGTAGTTACAAAATTTTGAAGACAATGACAATGCAGGCTTACATGTGTTCTATCTGAATAAATGTAATGGCCCCTTGGACTGGCCCGGCCCTGGTCAGCACAGTGCCCAGCACACAACACAAAAGTGGTACAAAAGTAGTAATGCAACTGTCCCCCCAGGCACTGCTGCAGTTGCAAGGTAGTCTTGCTTGCAGGTAGACAATGTGTTTCTTTGAACCTCAGACTTTTGAACGGTGTCAGCTGACTGCCGAGGAAGTGCAAGTATCATTCATGACGACATCTTTGTAGTACATATACCTTTTGTACAAGAAATATCAGTACGGCCATGGCTGAAGGCTTCAAGATTTGTGCCAACGATGGATTGGATCTCAGAGGAGATCCCTTGCCTTGCTCATTTGCGCGCTGAATACTCGGAGCCGGTGCAGGTGTCGTTGAGGAATGTCGTCATGTTGTTGCAAGACTGCAGATCAAAGTTGTTGCCCTGCACAAGGCCACACCAGGCATCAGGCGCATGCACTGAGTTGCATGTCATCAACGCAGCATAGAGAAGCAGATGCCATGAACAGGAACACCAATATACCATACTGCACGCTCTGGTGCCTTCTAGCGAACACGGTGTGCTGAACAGAACGGTCAGTGCACATGAGCATCCTTCTTCAAGGCAAGATAAGTAAGGCATTAGAGAACTCGCCGCGTTATTTAGGAGGCAAGACTGTTCAAAGTAGCAAAGGCATCTTATTGTCCCAATAAGATTGGGCAGGTTCGTACCCCAAGGTGGACGTGGCGCTGGACCTTGATTGGGACAGAATCACTCTTAAGGAAACTTGGAAGATTGCCTGTGAACAGGTTGTTGGAGAAATCAAAGCTGACGCCGCTGCGCATCATGCTTGAGGATGTTGTTGTGGTGGATGTATTTGGATTAAAGAGCCCAATGCTGCCATATATCTCCGGAATGGAACTGCAAACATGCAACACCCAATCCTTAGTCTCGAGTAAGGAAAGGTAGCAACGGTGCATCCCCGCACACTCATGAAGGCTACAGTATGCTCATGGCCACAGTGACACAGGAGCTACGGTTTCGTGTTCAAAGTAGGAATCTGGAAGCCATCCAATCACACAATTCTTTTGAGCATTTTTGGCTATGGAAATTATCAAGGTCGATGCAGATACTTGCCCTGAAAACTGGTTGTGCGAGGCATTGAGGACCAGAAGCTCAGGGAAGAATTTTTCGTCCACGTTTGCTGGCGATGGCAAGGAACCACTGGAATCACGCAGGAAATAATCAGCTTGCAAGCATACTGTAGCCCACTGTTGGTGACTGTGGGCTGGCAGGGTTTTCGCCTCTAAATTGAGCAATCAGCAGCTGAAGGATTTTCGTAAGCCTGTGCCACCTCTGTCCTAAGAATTCTCAGGATAGCTGATACTTGTAAGGGTGCACATTATGTCAGGTTATGTCTTTGCCAGAAACATGTCGATGTTGGACTTCACAGTGTAGATCGTTTCTAGCAGTGGAGGATGCTTTCTAAATCCCTGTTGAAGCCTCTGTGGTCAATGCAGATCGAAACAACAACGTATTGTGGGTGAAACAGAAGGCAAATGAACTGCAAATCCAGGATCAAGCGAGATCATTACCTGAAATTGTTCATTGCGATGTCCAGGAAGTCCAGGTACTTGCAATTGCGCCCAAGATTGTAAGGAAAGGGTCCATTCAAGGAGTTGTTGGAAATTTCGAGTTCAAAGGTGTAGCAGCTGATTGTGCTATTGTTGTGCCATTCTTCTGGAGTGGCTGCGAAGCTGTTCCCATTCAGAGAAACTCAAAGTGCCTTGGTGATGAAGAGGGGAAGGGCTCCTGCATGCGAATAGAAGCAATGTTGGTGGCATTCTTGGTATTTGTTAGCCTCAACACGGCATAAAGAAAGCCACACAAGCCACAATGCTAGTCCACAGCCAACGCACCGTTCAACATATTGGAACTTCCGTCAAAGTTTGACATCAAAGTCAGCATCAACTCCCATGAAGAGGGAATGGACCTGCGCATTGCACAAGAGCATTCTTTAGAACGTACATAGGACCGTGTGGACATGATTGGGTCACTAGCAACTGTGCTTTGGTATAAAGCTTGAATCGGAGATGATACAAAGTCTTTTACAAGGAGTGCACTCTTTCGACTGGTGCAACTTATGGGGCTGGCATACCCAGACAAGCTGTTGTTTGAGAAGTCAAAAGTTGTCAACCCTGACAGCTGTCCGTAAGATGTTGGAAGGGTCCCAACCATAGAAGTGTTCTTGAATTGCAGTTTTCTCAAGGCTGTTGCCTTTGTGAGTCCTTCAGGAAGAGTTCCTGTGAGGCAAGAAAGCAAGGCAGCTATGGTCAGTCAGCACCCTTGAAGGCTTCACAAATTCCACAGATGTTTGAGACTACTAGTAGCCACTTGGCATTCTGGAAGTGCACGTTTCTGCACAACCTGAGGCTCTGATATGCTTTGAAACACACGCTTTTCTATCACCCCTCTGTGCACTTTTGGAAGTGAGAGTGTGACTGGGCCCGGGGCTTACCACCTATAGGATTTGAGCTAGCCTTGAATTGAGTGAGATTGACCATGTTTTCACCAAAGGATGACGGCAGAGGCCCTGTGATATTATTCTCGGGTATCACGAGTAACTTCAGCGACGCCATACTCCCTAGGCACTCTGGAAATGGCCCTACAGTTGCAACACACCTCTGTCAAGGATTTTTCGGCTTTCCATGTAATACTATATCCAGTAGATGCACATGACACACAAATTTAATTGTTACAAGGCACCCTGAGCCCTTCCACAAATTTGTTGTATTTTGCAAACTTCATCACGTACAAATCAATTTCTTGCAGATGCAAGCCAATACTATTCAAAACATTGCTGAGTATGAGCATAACATTTCCGTTAAAGGATACTTTCAGCATACGGTAAGCTTTGTGGATGCATAGTCTTCAGCCATGCACTTCTATACAGACTGCATAGAGATTCCTCAGTGATCTCCGGTATTTGGTGAGGCCAGGACCTCACCATGAAATCCGTTTGTGGCAATGAGAAGCGCCTCCAACTTGGGGAAGAAATTGCAGAAAGTGCCGTCCAGTGGCATCTCAATGCTGTTGTTGGTGAGTCCCAGCCATGTCAAAGGGGACGGTGTTCCTGCACATCATCCAGATGATCAGGACGCTAATCTCAACAAGCTTCAAATTGGTCTTCTGAAGGTCCATGGTTCCTTCCCCTTGGCCTGGCAGCAGTCTCATTTCTCAAAGCAGGCATTCTTGATGTGCGTCCATATAAGCCGATTGCATTTGTTGATAGAAGCAGTCGTGAATGTTTCAATGATGTCACTTTCTGCATGACAGCC